TTTTGGTACCGGGGATCGAACTTGGGTCCTTGTGTTTGCGAGGCAGGTGGTGGAACCACTGAGCTAAATCCTCAGCCCTTTTTTTTTCTCTTGAGACAGGGTCTCACTATGTAGCTCAGGCAGGCCTTGAACTTGTGGCAATCCACCTGCCTCAGCCTCCCAAGTGCTGGGATTATGGGCATGCGCCACCATGCCTGGCCATAAAGTAATTCTTGTAGCTGCATATTTTATAAAACAAATGAGATAATACTAAAGTCAGAAAAATTTTACTTAATAATGCTTACCTTTTGTTGGACTGAGATTCTGATCTATAAATCCTCTTAGTTCTGTATTTGTGGAAGTCAAACCAACCTGAATAAAATAGTTTTAAAAATTAAAAATAGCACCTTAAATTCTGTGAGATCACTTCATAAGCTAGTTTATACCTTCCACCAGAGGCCCATATCTAATGTTAGATATAGCCACACAAAAGTGAATTAATTAAGCTGGGCATGGTTGTACATGTCGGTAATCCCAGCTACTTTTAGGTTGAGGCAGGAAGATCACAAGTTCCTACTCAGCCCAGGCAATTTATCGAGACCCTTTCCTCAAAATTAAAAAAAATGGGCCAGGCATGGTGCTGCACACCTGTAGTCCCAGAACTCAGGAGGCGGAGGCAGGAAGATTGCCTAAGTTTAATACAGCCTGGGCTACATAATGAGTTCAAGACCAGCCTGAACTACATAGGGAGATCCTGTCTAAAAAATAACAACAACAACAACAATAATAATAAAACCAGGTGGCTCCACAGCAGAGACCATGCCTAGTATGCATGAGGCCCTGTTTAATTCCCAGCACCACACACATAAAAAAATTTCCATCCTCAGTGCTGGGGCTGAGCGCAGTGACACAGTACTTGCTTACATGTGTGAAGCCTTGAGTTTAATCTCCAGGAATACAAAAAATAAAAAATGCCCATCCTTATTTAATGCCCTTAATTTTTAATGTTCTTAATCATTATCTGCAATGCTTTCTGACACTATGACATGTAAGGAATTTTAAGGACCATTAACACCACAATGCTAAAATGAACCAATTATTTGGGTTCACATTCTAGTTCATTAAGGTGTAGGGTCTTGGTCAGGTCACATAATTTCTTCATCTGCAAATTAGATTATACCAGTACTTACCAATTCAGATTGATATAAAGATTAAATAAGATAACTCATATAAAGTATACCACATGGCACTTGGCATATACTCTCAATCTACGTTTCATTACTAGTAGTAGTATATTTCAGGGACTTCTAATAGCGTAACTATTTATAAATTTACTTTAAGATCATTTATTTCATTAAATATAATATCTATAGGACAACTTGGCATTACAACTGACTATAGTTCTATCATAAGACAAAGTTTTAAAAATTTGCTATAGAGCCTAGAGGGAAAAAAACCCTCTGTTTCTGAAAACCTGGCACAAAACAAGCTAAAACAAATGGCTCTATTATTACCATTAGATTATTGTTTTATACAGTGAAGATCTGTAATCTTGAAATATCACAAGTTTGTAATATTAAAAGTTTCTAATTTAGTACCTCAAACATTCTTTCATTCTGAAAAGGTTTTTAAAACTGGCGTTCCTGAGGTATTGTGGTCATATAAAAGATGCATAAAAAAAATATATATTTAAGGTATATAACCTGATGTTTTGATACATGTTTACACTGTGAAATGATTGCCATAATCAAGCTGACATATCTATTATCTCTACATAGAGGTATGTATGTAAGATTTAAGATCTATCCTCCAACAGAGTGTACCTAAGTGGAAATACTTGCTCAGTGGAAGAGCAAGTGCAAGGCCCTGGGTTTGATCCCCACGACAAGCAAAAAAAAAAAAAAAAA